TAATTTTCAATCAATATTATTTTAGTTTTGAAAATTCATTTCAGAGCTGACCTTGGGTTAGGCCAATTATCTTTTAAATGATTTATAATCCATTATTACCCTTATAATAATAAAACCAAACCCTGCTATAACTTACAGTAGATAGTTTAACACAAATTTTAGAAATTGTTTTCTTGGAAATATGGTGGCACTATTTTGTTTGTAACTAGTGATCCTTTTAAATAGGACATGAAAGAAGCTGAAATTTACCTAATTTTTAGATGAATATAGGGTGTGGTAGTTTGGATGTAATTGGCCCCCATAATCTCATAGGGATGACACTATTGGGTGATGTGGCTTTGTTGGAGTGTTTACGAGCTTATGAAGGAAATGTGTCACTGTGGGGCCTTGAGGTTTCCTATGCTCAGGATACTACTGAGTGTTTGAGTTGACTTCTTGTTGCTTACAAGATGTAGTACTCTCCCCTCCAGTACCACATCTGCCTACAAGCTGCCATGCTCCCTGCCATGATAATAATGGAATGAATTCTGAAACTGCAAGCGAACCATCCCAATTAAATATCTTTCCTCATAAGAGTTGCTGTGATCATAGTGTCTCTTCACAGCAATAAAAACCCTAACTAAGACACAGGGCTTGTTTTCCTTTCAAGCTCCTACTCCACTTGGTGCTCTCTTTGGGAAGGCTACCTGAAGGAAAATGCTGCCCTGTAAGTCCTGTTGATCTCCTTCCTATAAGGAGAATTTACAGAAGTGAAAGCTGAGCTTTCTGGAACTTCAGGAACATCAGGTAACCTAATTCAGGACATAGTAAAAGAGGGTTCAGGATTTAAGCACAAGTCTAATGAATTTAAAGTAAGTGTTTTATACCATCCCTTGTATATTCTCTCTCTCTCTCTCTCTCTCTCTCTCTCTCTCTCTCTCTCTCTCTCTCTCTCTCTCTCTCTCTGTTTACTTGAGTCTTTTAATTTTTTTGTTAAAATAAACTTGTATCATTTTTTTCCTCTTTCCTTCCTCCAACTCCTCCTATCTCCTTTCCCACACAGCCCTCCTATGAGCCCACCTTTAAACCTTCTGGAGATTCACTGCAAGTATAAAGCCTTGTGACTTTATATTCCTTGAAGTCCTTTGTTCACCCTGCTTTAGTCTTCATAATCTTTGTGGATGAGCATTCAAGTTGCTAATAAACATGTTTTATTGTAAAGTCACATAATCTTTAGCCATATTTCTAATATAATAGTATTTACTTAATAGACAAGGTTGAATTTTTAAGATTTATTTATTTGAATGTAAGTATGCTGGGAAATGACCCAGATCTTCTGGAATAGCACCAAGTACTCTGAAATGTTGGCCCATCCTCTCCAACCCCTACACAAGTTTCAATTTATAAATAATTGACAAACAAGTATAAGGGTCTAACTTATATTCAGCTATTTTTCATCACTTCTGATATATATGGTTTTCAGTAATTTTCAAGTGTTGGCGGTTGGCTTATCCTTTACTCTGCTGCCATTTTCAAGATGCCTTATTAACACACAAACAAAGGAAGAAGATTCTTTAAGCTTTAAAGAGAATGGGAGACCACAGAAAGACCAACTGAAGTTCTCATTGAGAAAAAAAAATCTCACTCTTCACCCTGTTGATGTGTGGGAAAAGGAAGCAGCCAGCCTCTTAAAAACAAAAACAAAACACTTATTATCTTTTGTTGTTTAAACTTTCCATTTTAGTTATGATTTTTCATAAAAATAGCAACAATAACCCATGCCACATATTTTTGACTAAGGCCTATGTCTTGAGCAGTTACTATTTTTTTGTATTAGTTTCATTTAGTTGTCATGACAATATAATTATTCTGAAGATAATGAATAATTATCTGACAAGATATAAGGAAAATTTTAACTCTCTAATAGTTGTATCATGTGTAATACTAAACACTGGCCCACATACTTTTTTTAAAAATGAAGATTAGATTAGTTCATTTGAATTTTTATTCCCACCTCATAGTTTGAAACACAGTTCAAAATGTAGTTAAGATTTTCTGGAGTGTTCCAAGGTGTCTTCATTTCTTCTTCTGTTGGTAGATAAATTCCGATTCAGTTATTTTCTGTAGGTTCTATGGCACTGCCTCATTCAATGCAGATAGCAACCCAATTAATAAATTATAGAATATTGCATATAGGTATGTGATTTCAAATATTGCCCAATACTCCATTTCAAAAAGTCCTTTGAGAATTATTAAATTTGAACCTTCAAAGATAAACTATTCTTATTTTCTACCACACTTAGTTTCTGCTACAATATTTAAAATATATCTAAAGTATCCAATAATTTGTTTTTCTTTCCATTTTATCAGATATCCAACAATGCACTACAAGATATCTTAATATTCTGTTTTAAAGGGTAAGAAAAGCTAGTGAAGATATTTCTGGAAAAGAATGGACCAATTTGTTGATGCCGATATTGCACATTAAATGAAACCACCTATTTTTATTATTTCAGGTTGATGTGAACAGACTTTACTTTATCTTCCTCTTGAAAATCATGCAAAACCAGAGCTTTGTCACTGAGTTCATACTCCTGGGACTTTCACAGAACCCAAAAGTTGAGAAAATACTATTTGTTGTATTTTTGTTGATCTATCTTACAACTATTGGGGGCAACATGACGATTGTGGTGACCATTATGTGGAGCCCTGCACTGCTGGGTTCCCCCATGTACTTTTTCTTGGCATTCCTGTCCTTATTGGATGCATGTGTGTCTTCTATTGTCACACCCAAGATGATTGTAGATTTATTCTATAAGAGAAAGACGATCTCCTTTGAATGCTGCATGACACAAGTATTTGCTGTCCACTTCTTCAGTGCGGTGGAGTTGATCATCCTGGCAGCCATGGCCTATGACCGCTATGTGGCCATTTGCAAGCCCTTGCACTACTTTTCCATTATGAGCAGGAGGGTCTGTGGCACTCTGGTGGAGGTTGCCTGGGCAGGGGGTTTCTTACATTCTATTATACAAATTATATTCACTTTGCAATTGCCCTTCTGTGGACCCAATTTTATTGATCATTTCATATGTGACTTGTTCCCATTGCTGAAGCTAGCCTGCACGGACACACGCATTTTCATCATTTTGGTGTTTGCTAACAGTGGGTCTCTCTGCATCATTATCTTCTCCTTTTTGCTTGTATCCTATGGTGTCATCTTGTTCTCTCTCAGAGCCCACAGTTCTGAAGGGCGACGTAAAGCTCTCTCCACTTGTGGATCCCATATTACTGTTGTGGTTTTGTTCTTTGTTCCATGCATATTAATATATGCAAGACCTACATCCCCATTCTCTTTGGAGAAAAATGTCTTTATATTTGCTGTTGTCTTGACACCATTGCTCAATCCTATGGTTTATACTTTCAGGAATAAGGAAATGAAAAATGCTATCAGAAAAATGTGGCGGAGTTTTATAGTGGTTCCTGGTGCATACTAAAATAGTAAATAAGTTAACTGAAGAGATGATTCTGTTGGAGAAACAAAGCCTGCACTGTGTAACCATAGAACTTTGTTTTTAATTCCATTGCAATGTCTAGAGCCAAGTATGGCACTGCACTTTTAACCCATTGCTGGTATTGCTGAAACACATAGGATGCAGTTGAACCTTGAAAGGCAAATCTATCAGAAAGCCAGAAAGTTTCAGGTTCATTTCCTGATCTTGTCCAAGGAAATATGACAGAGTAAAGTAGATACAGATACTCAACTCCCTTTTCTTGATCTTCATGCACTGGTAGTGCCACCCCCAACTTTATCAAGTGCATACATACACACATGCAGAGAGAGAGAGAGAGAGAGAGAGAGAGAGAGAGAGAGAGAGAGAGAGAGAGAGAACATGTACACATAAGCATAAGCACACAATCTAAGCTAAAAACATATCTAGGAACAATATAAAAAAGAGAACACATAAAGGTTTTAAGAATCAGAGGACCAGGACTCGTGATGTTAGATTTTGTCTTCTTAGCATGACTGTTATGTTGCACCCATGTAATATTAGAAAGAGAGTTGCTTAAAACAAACTCGAATAATGACAACACTGGTGACATCATATCAATGTGGATAGGGTAAACTTTATAAGGTCACATCATCTGTTGGGAGTGCAAAAAACAATTTTACCTGGAAACAAACCCTTTAGTATGTTATCCAAACCCAAGTGATAAGCTTTAACACATTTATGCATGAACAATACCTAATAGACTCATTAGGATAAATAACTGATGAAGACATAAGAAATGGTCAAAATTTGAGATGGAGAGGAGGGGGAGAGTTTGATGGATAGAAATGACATAATAGAGTACCTATGTAAGAAATTTTCAAAAAAAATTTAAAAAGGAAGAAAGAAATCAATATTTACATAGATATGTGTAGATATCTACACACCAACTGTCTTATTAAAATAAGAAACAAAGAACCAATGTAAAAGAGAAAGCCGAGAGGTCAGAGCTCAGAGCTAAAATCTTTCCTCCTGCAATGCTCCTAGCTTCTCCGAGATAGATACTTCCTGTGTGTCTGTCTTTAAATAGTCTTTTTGTTCTGCCCTCTCATTGGTTATAAACCCAACCACATGACTGCCTTGTCACTGCCTCTAAGTACCACCCTCCAAGTCTTAAAGGTGTATGTCTCCAATGCTGGCTGTATCCCTGAACACACAAAATCTACCTAGCTCTTCTAACCACCACGCTCTTGCTATGGCTCTAATAGCTCTGACTCTAGGGGCAACTTTATTTATTAACGTACAATTAAAATTACATTTCAGTACAAATAAAATACCACCATAGATATGCAATTTGGAATTAACTCATATATAGAGAGATTGCATTATTATATAGAGAATACATTAATTTAGGAGTAAAAATTGGATTTTGTGCTCACACTTTTTGTGAATTGATTGCTCAGTATTGCTGTAAAAAATTTAAGACGTTTACATTTTATGCTCTTACAAGTCTAATGAAATGTTGAAGGAAATTTTAATATTAAAATGTTTGCTATTCATATTATTTGTTAAAATGTTAAAAATAAATATGCATTTTAAATATGGAAAAAACATAATGAGAAAAAATAGTGTAAAAATGGGTTTCTAGGTATTATTGAGAGGTCTCAGAACCTAGAAATACAATAAAGGGCCATAAACAGAAACTTAAATGCAGCTGTTCCTGTGTCATTTGAGTTTGTTTTTAAAAGTATGTCCATTAGTATTTAATGCACATTCTGAGTTACAGTTTGAAATTATTGATAGATAAAATATGAATATCTGTACTAAGTTATAAGGAAAATAACTTATGGTTAGACAGGTCAGAGGACCTAGAAAAGAACCTAAAAATTTTATTATGTTAAATTGACATAATATTAAAATGACTCCTACACACTTTCCTTGGTAGTCTCTGAGCCTTGTGGTAAGCGGTGTGATGTAGACATCCCATTAGGACTCAGCACTTCACCTCTCCCCATTGTCTTAGTCTTTGCAAATTGACCATTTGTAGGTGCATATGTTAATTGTCATCCACTAATTTCAAACTTCTTTGATGAGAGTTGAAAACTGCACTAATCAATGGTATAATGATAAGTAATTTGGAGTCAGTTCAAGACTATATTCATTTACAGAATAATAGGTTTCCCCATATTGCCTATGACCTATCCAATCACTGGATATTTCCTTTGTTAAGTGTGAGATATGGGTTCCCTCTGGCAGAGCAGGTCTTAGACACAACCAGAAATTCATTGGTTACTTGTGTAGCTTTTGTGCCACTATTGTACCTGTGGATAGTTGTTTATCACATCAGTAATTAGTGAAGCTTCTGACACCAAACTTTGGTGAGGTTGATGCTTAGCTTTATTCCCTGAGAGCTGACCTCACACCTGCTAGCACTGTGGGAACTAGCCTGTACAGATGAGCCATTCTGAGATTCAGATTCATGAGACAGGTAAGGAATATATCAGGAACTGAACTCATATGGGATATTTTGTCTAAGAATTTGGCTTCATACTGTTTGTGTCCTGGGAAAAGCATTATAGACTTGCCTGCAGGAAGATCTTATGGAGGCATTTTCTCAAATGAGGATCATTCTTTTTTTACCACCCTATATTGTGTTAAGTTGAATTAAACTACCCAGAACACTATCATTACATATATCACATACATTTATAAATCAACTATTTTTTGTTAGGGAAGAGTCTTTGCATATTTCCTTACATATTGATTGATAGACACCTTTGAGAGAAAGCATTATAACTAAATTCTGGAAAGACGTTGTGTTCCATCCATTATAAAATAGTCTACTCTTTCTGAAAATGATGATATACACATGAAATTATTCTCATATATGACCTTTAAATTGAAAAGAGCACAACATAACTTTGGATAGACATTGAAGCAATGTAAGTTTTGTAACAAGTGGAAAATTCCACAAAATTTGAGGTCAGAAATTTTACAATACCTGGGAGAACTAAGAATTAGTATCACAGATTCATGATGTCTCCAGAAAACCTCTTTAAATTTCAGATGCATTGAGGGGGAAATTTTGGATACTTCCTTACAGTTTGTTCAGCATAAATGATGAACACAGCACCCAAGAAGCAGTGGTAACATCCTCCATCTTTTTTTTTTTTTTTTTTTTTGGTTTTTCAAGACAGGGTTTCTCTGCGTAGCTTTGTGCCTTTCCTGGAGCTCCCTTGGTAGCCCAGCCTGGCCTCGAACTCACAGAGATCCGCCTGCCTCTGCCTCCCGAGCGCTGGGATTAAAGGCATGTGCCACCACTGCCCGGCCAACATCCTCCATCTTTACTCTCAGAACTTTCCCTCAGATTTGGAAGGAAGTGTCAGAGACAAGCAGACACTCTTGATCAAGACTGAAAGAAAAGGAGGCTATCTTCAAATCTTTATAGAAATCACACTCGGTGAGGCAAAGTAAGCATGTCATGTGCCCTTATGAAGGATTTTTAATTTGTGTAAAGTGATTTAACATTTGAATATTGTGTGAGGCCTACTGTGTTTAAAAAACCATGCCCCACTCACCTCACAAGTATTTGTTCTTGTAAGAGTTCTGTAGACCATGGTGCTCATATTACTTTTAGTAGTAGAAATATTGTGACAAAAATTGGTGTTTTATTAATCTAATAAATTGCAATGTGAGGATACCAGAAAATAACATTTCATAATAAATAATTTTCAAGTGCCCATGGAGCTTAAATAACTGTTGTAAGAGCACAACACAAACTCCTTCCATCTATTTATCCATCCAAGAAAATTCTTTCCAATAATTTTTAAGCATTCATTTTTCCAAGGTTAATGAAAATAAATATATTTTCAAATTTTCATCTTTATATTAAAATCAAACAATTTAGAAATGCAGCACAAATTTATTTTTCTATTATCCCTCAACAATACTTTGATTATCTAAACATATCATCATTTATAAACTGGTAACTCACCATTCTGCTTGTATAGAAAGGTAGAATGCATTGAAGTTGTATGAAGAATACTTAAATAAGAACATGATAAATTGAAGCATTACTATATCTTAAATAGCTAAGGAAATTGACTATAAAATGTTCCAATTCAACAAAAACACACTAATAATGCTACACAGAAGGAGCATAAGTTAAGAAGTTTGACTCAACTCACAAAGTGAAGACTTCAGACTTAATCATGTTCATTTCAATTTCTCAAAGCATTAGAGTTCTACACTGAAGTCTTAGGAAAACAAAGTGGGTGAAGCTCTGGTTCCCTTAGAGCTAGCAGTCTGTCTTGTTCTCTCTCTTAAGATGAGCAGAATCACTAAGACATCAAAGGGACTTCAGAAATCAATCAGGAAGGACATGAAAAGAAAGAGGAAATCTCTTTTCCCCACATTGCTTAGATAGTGGGGAAAGTAAAGTTAAGACATGCAGGGAAATCTAGAATAACACTAGGGACAAAGAAAAGATTAGTAATCCAAAGAGAATGTAATTTCCAGAAAGTCAAGGAAATAAACCTGGTTAGCTACAAACATAAGGAATGAAGCTTTTATTGGTAAATAATAACTTTAATTTAAAAATATGTCAGACTTATAGAATTTAACAGGTGGGACAATTTCATATAAAACTTCAATAAATTATCATCATCTATAAGAACAGTAGCCATTTATATTAAATATATTTAAAAGATCATGGAATATGTTAGGATAAGTAAAGAGAAAGTGAGTTGTTCCTAAATGAGAATATGGATTTGAAACCAAAGAGCAGTGGGTTGGGAAAGGGTCAAGTCCAATGTATGGTTTTTAGTGGAAAGATTATGATATAATGAAATAGTCCACATAAGATGCCTGTTAAGCTAACTCATTACTTCAACTTTTGGTAATCAGATGGATGGACTGAAAATCTGACATTGTTTTCAGAAACTGTAAAGAAATTAGATTTTATGAGTTATCTCGGTGTTTAATTTTCAGGATTTTTAATAAGAATAACAGCATATTTATTACTAATGTGGCTATGCTAAGCATATTGGAGGCACTTCCTGGCAAAGCTACAGTGCTTGGATGTTTTGGACTGACCCATCACTGACCTTGGTAGAATTTGCTGCACAACTCTTGCCTGTGTCTTTGACATGTTTAATGTTTGGAATTCCTTGATGTTAAGGGCCCTTCACTGAAGGCTAGAGCTGTGATAATGTAACATTTCATATAGAAGCTGATGCTAATAAGAATAAAACTCATGGTAGCTCTCTAGGATAATCAGCTATGGAGAAAAAAAAATGAGTCTTTTATAGACTTATTTCTTAAGTGGTATTGGTAAGCATGAGACACAGGATCTGGAAAAAAATCATTAAAAAAGAAAAACTTTTAAAATTTAGAAGCTAGTAAACTATAGCTGAATCATTAGGTTCTCACGTTCTGCCTCAGAAACACAAAACTAGCATGGACATATAAAACTAATGATGGGTGGTGGTGGCCCATGCCTTTAATCCCAGCACTCAGAAGGCAGGGGCAGGTGGATCTCTGTGAGTTTGAGGCCAGCCTGGGCTACAGAGTGAGTTCCAGGAAAGGCTCCAAAGCTACACAGAGAAACCCTGTCTAAAAAACAAAACAAAACAAAACTTAACGCCAAGCCTTCAGGTACCATCCTGAAGGCAAAGTAAGCAGTTTTAGGAATCTTGATGTTCTTCTACACTCTGCAGGAATGTAATAAAGATAGAGACCATAAGGAAACAAGAGTTTATGACAAAGACCCAAAGAGAAACATTCTAGCTCGGTGAACTTCCTGGTTTCCTGAGCAGACTTGTCAGATCAGGCCTTTTCTGATACTGTAGAAAGAATAAAGAGCAGAGCAAAGTACTTTAAAAAAATCAAGGAAAGGATGGAGGTCTTATATCAGATATAAAAGAAAAAATTTAAACAAGGGACTGAGGGATTAGATTTTGCTTAGAAAGATCAGATATTCATTACAGTAGATCAATAGAATGATACAGGAGAAGCTTGATATGGCAGGTAGTAGGAAATAACTTCTGGTCTATTGACTTAGTCAAACTTAAATAGAGATATCCTGTTTTGTATTTATGTAACTGCAAGGCTTTATGATACTAATTTTTAAAGAATAAGAAATTGAATTAAAAAAATCTTACCATAATGTTAGATTTTAGTTCTCATAAAATTTGCTATTTGCTTTTTTTTTTTGCTTCTTTTACTTCGATATGCTTGTGTAATCAAGAAAGAATTTAGAAAATGTTTTGTAATCAATGATTAAAATTTATGAGGAAATGACTTTGTGTATAAATAAAGCCTGTGGGAGATTCAGGTTTTCAGAGGAGGTCTTGCCATACCGAGATGAACTTCCTCTCTGTCCATCTCCCGTAAAACAAAACTAAGAACTGTCCTGTGTTTGGATTCTCCTTCAATTCTCTTGCATTCACCCACTTTAGATCCTGCTGTCATCCAGAGCTGGACTCCGGCACTAATGGATTTATCGTTTTAAGCTCCCGTTTAAAAAATAGTGTATATTTATAATATCTGTGAATGGTGATTCATGTTCCTCTTCTTTTCTCACTTATAAAACTGGTAAAAAGCCTTACTTTTGATATCATATAATTAGAGTTTTATTTATAGAACTATGTGATAGTAATTTGTAATAGTTTTATTTACCTATTCTTATGACTGTTTTACATTGTTCTCATTTCTCAGTTTTTAGATACTACATTATATTATATTGTAAAACTTTCTCATATTTATTTTTAGAATAAAATTCTGGGTCTGGTGTCCTGTATCAAAAATAAAAACATTGTGAAGCTTCCACAATTATTTTCAACATGTAATCTGTAACATTGCTCCAATGAAGCAACGTCAAAGTAAGTGGAGTAGTTTTCAACATATACTTTAAAAGTGTATTTTTCTATTGACTGATTCAACACTGGCAGACAGACAGGCACTTTTATAAAATGTTGATGTCAATCTTCACACATCTTTTTAATAAGTAATTTTTTGGATATTAAGATAAGATCCATGCATTTGGTTGAATGTAATCACGTAAGCTTATGGTCTCAACATTATGAGGCAGAGGTAGGATGATCATAAATTCATAGTTATCCTAGGATGAGTTTTTAATCCATCCTAGGATACATCATTTCTTTTCACCACCACGGGAATAAAGTCTATCTATGTTGAGCTGTAGTTAATTGTTTTATGGAACATGGTTATCACACATCTAGTTGTCGTTTAACCATATTTGTGGTGTATTTTTTATTCATTTGAGATTTTCATTACATATGTGTACAAGATATTGTGATCATAACCTAGCTCATCCAACATTAGAAACTGAACAATTTTTAATTTCAAAGTAATGTTTTATCTGTCCATTTTTAGATTAACAAAATGACATGAAATAGAGGACTCGGGTTGTATTTCACATGGATTTCTGTGACATTATGCCAATGCTTTACTGAGTATTCATTTGCCAAGATAAAGAGGGGGAAAGGAAAAAATGTGTGTCTCATTTAAATAATATATTTTATTTATGTAAATTTTCAATTATTATCTTTAATTTTTTTATTTTTTTCAAAATAAAATATAATTATATAATTCCCCCCTTTTCTGTTCTCCCTCCATCCCCTTCCAAGTCCCCTCGCTACAGGCCTCCTGGGTCTTCTTCCTCACAGCCTCTCAGACTGACAGCCTTTTATTATTATTATTCTTTTTGTTTGTTTGCTTTTTCAAGACAAGATTTCTCTGTGTAGCTTTGTGCCTTTCCTGAATCTCACTCTGTAGACCAGGCTGGCTTCAAATTCACAAAGATCCTCCTGGCTCTGCCTCCTGAGTGCTGAGATTAAAGGCGTGTGCCACCACAGCCCAGGTATTATTCTTACATAATATATCAATTCAAAAATATAAAAAAGAACAACTCAGGTTTGATGAGTTTATTTATTGTTGTATGTGTGTAAATGATACAAGGATTGACCACTTATTATTGGATACCTAACTGGGATCTCATTTCTAGGAAGGACTAACTCTCCCTCCCTCAGCCATCATTATTTGCCTGTAGTTCTTAGTCTAGAGGTAGGGCCCATGGGATTTCTGTCTTCCACATTAGCATATCTATTGTTGCCTCCTTATTATTTAGGTCTTGCTTAGGCATCCATATTGCTGAGAGCTATCATAGGTATAGCTTCTGTGTCATTTCTGGGAGACACAATCTCACTGTAGACTTCCTTGACCTCTGTCGCTTATAATTTCTTTGTACCTCTTCAGAAATCTCCCCTGAGCCTTGGTTGCTAGATTCAAGTTGTAGATGTATCTGCTGAGATTTGTCACAAAAAGATCAGTTCATCTTGGTAAACTGGCTGGTTTTGGTTTTCTGTAAGCATTCCCATTTGATGCAAAGAAAATATCTTCTATCAGGCATGAGAGCTACATTTATCTGAGTGTAAGGAAAAATGTTATAATGCAATTTTGAATTGGACTGCTGTAGTAAAGTGGTGGTAATAGGTTCTCATATAAGATCCGTGACTTTTCTAGCCCTGGGTAGTTGGCTAGGTTTCTAGTACTATACATGATTTCTCTCCTTTTGAGTTGTCCTTAAGTCCAATTATAGAGCTTGTGTTTACTGCCAAGAGATATATGGCGATATATGGCACATTGCACCTGATGGATGTCTTGCTCTTTGTCTCTGTAATTTGCTCTCAACTGCTAAAGGAGGACGATTTTCTGATGATAGCTGAGGAAGTCTTCAATCTATGGGTATAGAAGAGTGTCATAGGAGTGATTTTGTGGCTATATTCCTTTAGCAGAACCATATTATTTGGTTTTTCCCTCGGTCCTTGGCCTATCTAGCCTTAGAATCTTGGCTGCCCAAAGTGTGTTTTGTATTGGTTTCATCTCATGAACTTGGTCATAAATCCAATTAAAGGGTGGTTGGATACTTCCACAAGCTTTGTGTGACTATTACACCAGCATGTCTTGCAGTTAGGTCATCATTATACATAAAAGGTTTTGTGGCTAGATTGGCAGCATGCAGAGTACCTTCCTGAACCAAAGGCTCTAGAACATAGGGGAGAAGGCTCTATTGTCTACAGACAACTTCTCATGTACAATGAATTCTGTAAGGGTTGTCTTCTGCAATAGGGCCCTCACCATGAGATTGTGCAGAGAAAAAAATTGTCTTGGCAATAGCCAGATGTGTTTGGTGTCTCCCATGGGACCCCTATGGCCAGAAACTTCATTTTATGTAAACATTCTTAGAACTGTAAGCTTCATTTGGTGATGAGAAAAGTTAGGGCTCTGTCTCCCCCATTACTTGTTGAACATTTAGATCACTGTCATATACATATGTATTTTTAGAAGTGTCTTCTGATTAGTTTTCAATACTACTCCTCGAATGGCCCTAAGTTTTAGCTGTCCCTCTTGATATTCCTTCCCTGCCCCATTTGACCCTCCAATTTCCCATTTTTATTGTCCATTCTAGTCACTCTAATACTTCTCTATCCACCCAAAGCTGTCTAATTTATTTTTCCTTTCTAGGGAGATCCAACCAACATCACACATACCCCTAGTACCCCACTCTACTCCTAACACCTGTAATTATATGGATTATAGCATGCTTATGAATGACTTAACAGTTAACATACACATGTAGGAAAATACATACCATATTTATTTTTCTGGGACTGGATTACCTCACTTAGGATGACTGTTCTAGTTCCATCCAATTACATGCTAATTTCATCTTCAGTGAATATGTAGTATTCCATTGTATATGTGTACTGAATTTTCTTTATCAGTTCATCCATTGATGGACATTTAGGTTGTTTCTAATTCCTGGTTATTATGAATAGAGTAGCAATGAACATGGTTGAATGAGTATCTCTGTAGTAGGATAAAGGATGAAGCATCTTTTTGTTATACACCCAAGAGTGGTATAGCTGGTTCTTAAAGTACATACTGAGAAACCACCACACTGTCTCCCATAGTGCCTGCATAAATCCACAGTATCATAGTGCCTGCATAAATCCACAGTATCATGGGTAACAGATGTGTGTTACCCTTAATCTGTTTCCTTGAGAATATGAGCTGCGGATTGTTTTATTGATCTTGGCAATTATGACTGGTGAAAGAGGAGAACTCAAAGTAGTTTTTATTTTCATTTCTATGATGACTAAGGCTGTTGAAAAATTCAAGTGCTTCTCAGCCATGTGAGTTTTCTCTTATGAGAATTTTGTTTAGATCTATTCAGTTTTTAATTGCTTTATTTTCTTGATACCACCTTTTTTATGTGTTTTGGATATTAGTACTCTCTTAGATGTATAGAAGATAAAAATATTTGTTACGGAGACTATAATTACTACTTCTATTTCACTATGTTTATGTTATCATTGTAGCTTGTTTATGTTGCTTATCTGATCTTTATTTCACTTTGGTAGGTGGTATATTCTGAAAAAATTATCAGTTTCTTTCAGATTTTGCGATTTGATGGAGTACAGGTTTTTGAAGTATATCCTTATGATTCTCTGGATCTCTTCAATGCCTGATCTTATATCCTCCATTGTGTTTCTAATTAAGTTATTTTGTATATTCTCTTTGTCTGCTTTTTAGTTAATTTGGTTGAGGTTTTTGTTAATCTTGCTGATTTTCTTCTCAAAGAACCAACTTTTGTTCTATTGATTCTTTGTATTTTTGTTTGTTTGTTTCTTTCTTTTTATTATATTGATTTTGGCTCGAAGTTTGATTATTTCTTTTCACCTTCTCCTTTCATGTATTGACTCTTCTTCTCCTTCTAGATCTTTCAGGTGTTTTATTTAGTTATTAATATGAGACCTCCATATTTTATAAAGGCATTTAGTGCTATGAATTTGCCTCTTAGATATTCCTTCATTGTACCCCATAAGTTTGGATATGTTGTGTTTAATTTTGTACAGTCCTAAAGGTTCTTTTTGAATTTCCTTTTTAATTTTTACTTTGACCCATTTTTCATTTAGTGGTGAGTTGTTAAGTTTTTATGAGTTTTTAAGGTTTGTTATTGTTGATATTCAGCTTTAATCCATGGTGATCTGATAGGATGCAGGGTATTATTTCAACTTTCTTGTATCTGTTGAGACTTGTTTGTGTCCAAATATGTGGTCAGTTTTGTATAAATATCCATGAGCTGATCAGAAGAAGATATATCCTTTTGTGTTTGGGTGAAATTTTCTGTAAATATCTTTTAGATCTATTTGGCTTATGATGTCAGCTAGCTGCAGAATGACTCTGATTAGTATCTGTCTAGACGGCCTGTCTGTTGGAGAATGGGGTACTAAAGTCACCACTACCACTGTATGAGTGTCATTGTGTGATTTAAGCTGTAATGTGTAAAAGCTGTAAGCTTTTTCTTATAAACTTGAGTGTCCTTGTGTTTGATGCATAGATGTCAAGAATTGAAATATCCTCTTGGTAAAGTTTTCCTTTGATGAGTATGTAAGTGTCTTTCCCCATCTCTTCTGATTAGTTTTGGTTTGAAGTCTATGCTGTCAGATATTAAAATGGATACACCAGCTTGCTTCCTATGACTAATTGTTTGGAATATATTTTTCCATCTTTGTAGCCTGAAGTTATCCATGATATTAATGTGTGTTTCTTGGATGCAGCAGAAGGATGGATTCTGTTTTGAAATCCATTCTTTTAGTCTGTGTCTTTTTATTGGGAAATTGAGACAAATGATTGAGAGTTATTAATGGGCTGTGTTTGCTGATTCCTGTTATTTTGTTGTTGTAGTGTGGGTTTCCCCTCCATCTTTTGATTTGTTGTTCTAATATCATTTATTCCTTATATTTTTGTAGATGTAGTTAACCGCTTTGGGTTGAAGTTTTCCTTATATCACCATCTGAATGGCTGTATTTGTAGATAGATACTGCTTGAATGTGGTTTTTATCATGGAATGCCTTTTTCTCCATCCAATGTGATTGAAATTTTTGCTAAGTATAGTAGTCTGTGCTGGCATCTTTGTTCTCTTAGAGTTTGTAGAACATGTCAAGGCCTGTCTGGCTTTCATAGCTGCCCTTGGAAATCAGCTGTTATGCTAATAGGTCTATCTTTATATATTACTTGGTCTTTTTTTTCCTTTTAATTTTTAAAGTTCTCTTTGGACTTTATGTTGTTATCGATTACTATATATTGTGGAGATTTTCTTTTATGCTTCAGCCTAGATTTTGTTCTATATGGTTCTTGAACCTTGATAGGCATCTCTTCCTTTAGGTTAGGAAAATTTTCTTCTATGTTTTTATTAAAAATATTTTCTGTGAGTTTGACTGGGTTTCTTCTACTGCCTCTTTTCATATTATGAGTATATCTGATCTTTTCATGGTGTCTCTGATTTCCTCAATTATGTGTTCCTGGATTTTTTCATATTTAATATTTTCTTTGACAGAGGTAACCCTTTCTTCCATCTTGTTTTCAGTGCCTGAGATTCACACTTTTATCTCTTGTATTCTATTGGTCCCATTTGGCTCTGAGGTTCCTGTAGAGTTCTTAACTTTTTCCTTTCAAGTTTTCCCTCTGTCTATATTTTCTTTATTAGTTCTGTTTCCACTTTCAGGTATTTTACTGTTTTATTCATTTCAATCTACTGCTTGATTATGTTTTCACAGATTTCATGAAAGAATTTATTCATTTCCTCTTTGAGGATCTCAATTATATTCATAGAGGCTATTTTTGAAATCTTTGTCTTGTGCTTCAGCTGTATTGCAATTGTTAGGGCCTATTGTAGTAGGCTTGCTGGGATCTAGTGGGGACAAACTGTGATGGCTATTACTGATTTTGTTTTTACTTTGGGGTCTAAGCATCTATGTTTGTGATGGTTGTAATTCTTGGTCCTAATATATATTTTTTTTCTATTCTTTGTTGGATGAATTTTCCTTTCATTGGTATCTGTTGCCCTCTCTAGTTCTTAGAAGAGTGTCTGTGGGTTGCCTGATAAGAATGCTTCTGACATCACACCAAGAAAAGTTCTGGGACAGAATGTGTTTCTATGTATTAGGAATTGGAATGGGTTAGAAGGAGGTGTCTGAGAGAATCCACAGGAGGGAAAAAAGCCAGGTATGGCACCAGGATCTGCATAAGCCCATGAAAATGAGGACAGAGAGGGAAGAGAGTCTAAGGCAGGTATCCTGAAACAGAGATGGGATGAGACTGGTGGATTGGATTTCGAAGGGAAGAAGGATAGTAAAGATTGCCTATCTCTTTCCTTTGAACAGTGGGTTACTAGGGAATATATCTGGGAGTTTGTGGATGAGACAATGGGATGGGATGATGAAGGAGGCTATAGGCTATAGGCTATGTGATCTTCTACAGATGGTGGCAGAAAGGACTTGGAGGCAACAGAGGTGGTCTACTATAGAATTGGGCATGAGACTGAGGAATTGGATTTGGAGGAAAGGAAGAATGTAAAGATCTTCTATCTGCCTTTCTGTGGGCAATCTCTATTTCACATCTCTTCTTACATTTCTAATTCTATCATTATTTTCATGAAAGGACTTTGGATATCCCTTCCAAATAAATTTATTTGCACAACTGAAACTGAAAGATTACAGAACTTTAGGAGTATAAAATATCCTGACCTGTGCCAGAGAAAAAGATAAGGATCTAGACTTGAGGGAAAAAATCTCATAACTCTGTAACTGTTTTTCTTCTTTGTAAAAATACCATCCTATTAAGAGATACTGAGTTTTCCTCTGACATTTCATGCATGGGTAACCATGCTTTATGGTCTTCTTAGTTAATACAGTTCTTTTTCCCATCTTGCTTTATGGCTTAGATGACAATTGTATAGTGATTTTCCCAGTCTATCATTAATAATGTTTGTCTGATCCAATGACCTTATAAGGTTAGTTTACTCCTGTTTTCTTGGTAGTAGCCTCTGAATAGATTTCGATTTCAGAATATAGATTCTAGTGAGTATTCTGAGAACATCTTAGAATGGTTGTTTGTTTAAAATTAAATACTGGCAGCATCACATGATAGACTCATTAGTAAGTAAATTTTTTTCTGTTCTTTTTTTTGGTTATTTAAGACAGGGTTTCTCTGTGTAGCTCTGGCTTTCCTAGAACTCACTTTGTGGACTAGGTTGGCCTCAAACTCACAGAGATCTGCTTGCCTCTGCCTCCCAACTGCTGGGATTAAAGGCATGTGCCACCACTGCCTGGCTATTTCTGTTCTTTTTATATTGCAGTCACCAAAATTATCACATTTTTCAATAAAATTGCATTATTTTTATTCAGAAATTTGAAGTAACAAATATGTATAGGTTCACATATATTTATATATACATGTATTTGGAATCATTCATGCATAAAGGTCATATTTATTAAGAGATTTCAGTTGTGTAGACAAGATGGGCAACAGATGCTCTTTGAAGCCATGACAAGGAAGGAAATAAATACATAAGACAGAATATTATCTTAGTGTTTATTAAAGAACTGCCTATGAGTGAGACATTTAGGTTTTCAAGTAAATGAATTGTATGTAGAATTTTTAGATCATGTGACTATGAGTAACATTTTAACAATTTCAATTTGACTTTCTTCATAGTTCTTAAAGATGGGCATATAAGCACTTTATGAATGTTTTATAATACTTTCACACAAATTTCCAACTATTTTTATTATCATCCTTTTAAGCAATAGTTGTTTAACAGGTAAACATTACATAATTAAGTAGAAAATAATTAAGTCTCAAGAGTCTAATTCAAATTCAGAGAATGGTTTCTATTCTGCAGATATGTGTTGTTATGAATTTTCATATGTTGAGTTTTTGGTACATATACTTCTGAACATTCAACATTTACTATTTCCCCTGTCATGATGCATCATTAACATATAAAGAACATAAGAAGATGCTTTCATGTTAATGAAGAGGAGAACAGAAAGAATATCCATCATAACATATATATTCACTAGCAGCTATAACTAAGAAAAAAAAAATCTCACTGTTCAACAAGTTGATTCCTCAGAGACCTGAAGGGTCTTGGAGCACATGTTACTTAAAATCCCAGGTGTATCATTCCTTGTTTGGTCTTGTAACTTAGATCATAATATTGTACAAATAACAATTATAAAAATTATAATATATAATTATATATAATGTATATAATAATATATAAAAATTATAACAATAACCTCTGTCATATACTGTTGACTAAGAGCTTGAGACCTGAACAATAACATTTTCTATGTTTGCTTCTTTTTTTTTTTGTTTTTTTGTTTTTTTGTTTTTTTGTTTTTTCGAGACAGGTTTTCTCTGTGTAGCTTTGCGCCTTTCCTGGAACATACTTGGTAGCCCAGGCTGGCCTCGAACTCACAGAGATCCGCCTGGCTCTGCCTCCTGAGTGCTTGGATTAAAGGTGTGCCCCAACACTGCCCGGCCTTCTTTATGATTTATGAGTTTTTGTTGTTGTTGTTCTTTTTTGGTATTTGTGTGATGATGACAGCCTATTTTTCATATTGATCTGGTCACACTTCAAAATGAAGTAGATGTGAAATTTTTAACTCTTCCAATATATTCATCTTTTGCAGTGCTAGACACTTCCTACAGATTTTTTTTGTGAATAATAATTCATTTGAGGTTACAATTTGCCTCCTAGTGTGAAGCAAGATTAATAAGTAGCCAAGGTTTTGTGTGTACCCAAAAGCACACTTTGCTCTTCCTCTAGTGGTGCATAAGGCAGTGCTGTAAAAAGTCAGTGCAGGCTGCTCAGACCTGTCTCATTACATGAAGATTACAGTCATGATTTATATATTCTGGTCATTGGTTAATATCTAGGTTATAGTTTCAATATTGTTTTCATATTTCTCTTAAAGAAAACTCAGCAGGTTTGCAAAAGCTGATAATTCAAAGATGAGCTATTTATTACCACTCACACAAGTAAGTGTCTTTGAGTATGGTGTTTGAATTGTGATTACTTTCAATAATTTAATAATTCACCTCTGCTTCAATTTTTCAGGTTACACAACAATTGCGTTCAGAAGTTTTCTAGTATTTTGTTTTCAGTTGAAAGAGACTCAATCAAGGTAATTTTCATAAGTATGTACCATCTTGTTGATGGTGATATTATAAATTTATAAGCATCTTTTTTGTTGTAATTGAAGATTTTATATTAATAAAGTTTACTTTCACTGTCTTCTTATGAATCATGCAAAACCAGAGCTTTGTCACTGAGTTCATACTCCTGGGGCTTTCACAGAACCCAGATGTGGAAAAAATACTATTTGTTGTATTTTTGTTGATCTACCTTGCAACTATTGGGGGCAACATAGTAATTGTGGTGACCATCGTCTACAGCCCTGCACTCCTGGGCTCCCCCATGTACTTCTTCTTGGCATTCTTGTCCTTCCTGGATGCATGCACTTCTTCTACTGTCACACCCAAGATAATTCTAGACTGCTTTTATGAAAGGAAGAGCATCTCTTTTGAATGTTGCATGACACAACTGTTTACAGTCCACTTCTTCACAGAGGCAGAGGTGATTGTCCTGGCATCCATGGCCTATGACCGCTATGTGGCCATTTGCAAGCCCCTTCACTATTCTTCTATCATGACCCGGAGGCTCTGTAGTATTTTGGTGACAATATCGTGGGCTGGAGGATTCTTGCATTCTATCATACAAATTTTCTTCACATTGCAGCTGCCTTTATGTGGACCCAATGTCATTGATCATTACATGTGTGACTTGTTTCCGTTGCTGAAGCTTGCCTGCACTGACACTCATATATTTGTCCTTTTGGTGTTTGCCAACAGTGGGGCTATCTGCATCATTATCTTCTCCTTATTGCTTGTCTCCTATGGTGTTGTCTGGTTTTCTCTGAGAGGCCACAGTTCTGAAGGTCACCGTAAAGCTCTCTCAACATTACAGTTGTGCTTTTGTTTTTTGTCCCATGCATATTAATATATGCACGACCTATATCTGCATTGTCCTTTGAGAAAAATATGCTTATATTTGTCAATGTCCTGACACCATTGCTCAATCCTATGTTTTACACTTTCAGAAATAAGGAAATGATGAATGCCATGAGAAAAATGTGGAAGAGATTGAAAGTGGTTTCTGATAAATTTTAAAATATTGTATTGGTGGAAGTATTAAGGCAACTCCACATAGTTAAAGGGGAGGTTTATTTTGTGGGGTAACTTACAAGTAAAAGGATAGGTTACAGGGTCCAGGAGAGGTGAAGTGCAGTCCAGCGGTATTCTCTGGAGAACTCTGCTTGGTCTAGCTCCAGTGTCCAGGATCCAGGAACCAAGAGAGCCAGCCCTTCCAGATCTCAGGTCTAAAGGGCTCCTCTCTTGGCCCCCTCCTAGGTGTGACAGTTGCAGGAAGCCTCAAAGGAGGTAGTACTTCCAGGGCAAAGCTGGAACAGCTACCCACTGCAATATTCCACTTTCATTGGATGACGGAACTTGATATGCCAACATGATGATTTGCGATTTACTTTACAAAAACTTTTATGCCATTGCTAACATGGTGGAAGCACATTTTTAATTCAGTAGTGGTGCACAGGAATTTTGTGATCCCAGAGTTTAAATTCATTGTGAATTTATCTGATGAACAGTGAGTTTATGATTCAATGGAGATTAGTTTTAAGAAAAAAAGGTAGAAAGCAAAAGGTGGTTATAGACAGTGACTTCTTTTGGTTCTGTATCAATGTTAATGGGCACACATACTATTTACCCTTCACATGACTCACATGTTTTAGAACATACACGCCAACACAAATAAACAAAAGCTACACCTGAAAAACTCAATGAAAATAATAAAGAAGTCAATGGTTTATTGGATAAATAATACATTCTAGAATCTATAAATGGATGGCATCTTTAGATACAGAGGACATAAATAGTGGGAGTGAGAATTTATGTTTCTGAGTTCACACCTTCACTCTGAAAAGACCATTCAAGATTGTTCTACAAAAGTGAAAGTCAGCTTAATTTTACACTCTCATTTCTTTTATTACATACTTGAGAATATTTAACTATTTGAATCCTTATTCCCATTGTCTCATTAAAAATGGTTGGCAAAATAAATGTGTATTTGAAATTGGGAGAAGAAAAATATTGAAATCATTCCAAGAGAAAACAAGTCTCTAAATGACACCCTGAGACTCCAGAAGTTAGAAATACAGAGAGATGTTGAAACAGAACCTGAGCTTTAGGCATTCCTGTACATGTGACTTCTTTTCCTGTTGTTGAAAAGTAATTTTTTATATAACATATTATTATTATTGCTTCCATTCCCTTATCTTCTCCCAGCACCCCCCACACCCATCCAATTCCGTGACTTCTTTGTCTCTTTCTTCAGAAAACAAACAAGCCACTAAAATAGAGAATAAGACAAAACAAATAGAAAAAAGGAAAGAAAAGAAAAAGCACTAGGAACACATATACTCACAAGCACACACAGACACATAAAATGCATTAAAACACAAAAATCAAAAGACTTGCCCAGCATCATTAAGACTGAGTAGAAGAAGACCCACACCCCTGCCAGGATGGCCTGCCCTGGCAGTGAGGTGAAAACACTCTCCAACCTGGTCCCTTTGTAGCTCCAGGCAGTCAGGCACTATTATGTGAGCAAATATATGGTGGGAGAGAGAGAGAGAGAGAGAGAGAGAGAGAGAGAGAGAGAGAGAGAGAGAGAGGAGACAGAGACAGACAGACAGACAGACAGAATGGTTCATGTCCTGTGGAGAGAGGGCGATCTGAAGTGGTGAAGGCAGGTGGTGAAGAGTGGGCTGAGGTAGGTTGTCTGCTTGTCACCTTGGGCCATGGTGATGTCTGGGCCTCAGCTGCTTCCAAGGCCTAGGCCTTGGTCTGTGGCCCTGCTGCAGCTTCTGTCTATGTTGATGTCCATGGCACCTGTTAACATCAAAGTCTGAAGAGATAGGACTGTACAGCTTTGTCCACCCCCCACCCCCCACCCCCGCCCCATCGGCTGCAACCCTAGGAGCACTGGTCCTGTCCCTCTGGTGGAGCTGTACCAGGGAGAGCAGGTCCTAAACCTCACATGGGCCATACAATAGAGTTTTCCTTGTTCATGGTGGGTGGTGTAGGTGGGAGTGGTGGGGGTTTAGGGAGGATTAGACTGTTGGGGTGGTGTAGGGGTGCCAGGGAGCTAGCACTGAATGTGCTAGAGTGGGAAAGCTGGTCCTGTCCTCCTTATCTGCCCTGTGGTAGTGTGGGTAAGGGAAAGATGTCCTCCCCTTGCCCCTCACCACTTGTGGCAAGTGGGAGAGCTGACCCAGCCTCTCATCAATTGCAGCACTTGGGAAAGTGGGCCCTGATGCAACGTTATATGGGCAACACAGAGCTGACTCTGTCAACAGGGGCTCAGATGAGGCAGCCCCAAGAATGTGAGCATGACCCAACTCTTTGCTGCCTTGTGGTGGCATGGGCCATGGAGAGATGACTCCCTGATGCCCCTCACCGCTCACCATCTGTGGTAGGCTGGAGAGCTGGCCCCTCAGACCTGAGAGTGTGAGAGCTGGTCCTGCCCCTCACTGGCAACAGCATTCAGAAGGGCAAGTCCTGCACCTCACCTGGGTAGCATGGTAGAGCTTCTCTGTTGGCAGGGGTGTGGTTGAGCTGGCCCTGAGGGTTTCAGAGTAGGAAAGCTGACCCTGCCCCTCATCTGACATATGGTGAGTCAGTAGAGATGTGAGTGAGTAGAGATGCCCTCCCCACCCACTGCCCCTTGCTGCCTGTGGCAGGTGGGAGATCAGGCCATGAAATCATGAGCAGGAAACATGTCCCTGCCCCTCACGAGCTGCAGCACTTTGGATAGCAGCCCCTGCACATTGCCTGAGCAACACAGTAGAGCTGTCCCTGGTGGTGTAGGTGTGGGTGAGCCATCCCTGAGGGCATGAAAACAGAAGAACCAGTTTTTCTCCTTGCTATGTAGGGTAAACTATATGAGACAATTCTATAGAGCTCCCTCTGGTGGTAAGGATGGGGACAACTGGCAGACTGACCAACCCTACAACCACCCAGGCCCAGAATGATGAGCTGGCCCAATGCAATATCCACCCTATCTATGATCTGCTAGAGCATGTGAAATGGCCTATCCTGTGGATCCAAAGCTGCAGGATCTCCATGACACATGGCAGCAACAGGATATCCAAGAAGAGTTTCAGTGAGGGCCCAGTATCAATATTGTATGAGAAACCAGTGGCCTCAAACCAGACCAATGACTCTTTGCAATGAATATCTTTAAGTAAAGATTACATATTAAAGGATTTACTGTGTGACTCACTGTGTCACACTACAGCTTTTATGATGAGATTTTTCTTTTAATTTTTTTTTTTTTTTTTTTTTTTTTTTTTTTTTGGTGGGGGATGGTGCAAGGGCAGAGGGCAGCTAGATAGGTATAAAAGGACAGGAAGATTAAGGGGATCATGCACGATGTGAAATCCACATAGAATCAATAAAACATTTTAAAAAATACCAAGCAAAGTATATGAGACAAAAAGTCTTCAAAAATATACCATTGAGTTCATTTTGTTTTGACCATTATTGCAGGTCACAGGGCTTCCATGTAAGTGTGTTATGTATATCCAGTGAGACTCCACTGGAGAAAACTGTTTTCCTTTGTGAGCAGGTGTCATTTGGAGATAGCTTCCTAATAAGGTATGGGGGTTCTTGTCCACTTCACTTCTTAGCAGTGGCACGCCATCTGCCTTGGACCTTTGATGTCTCTCTGCATGCTGCCACAGTGGCTTCATATGTGTCTTAGTCCTGTTGTTTCTGGAAGGGTCTGTTCCTTGTTGTCATTCAGTCCCACTGGATCTTACAACCTTTCTGACTGTTCTTCTGCATAGCTGCCATATCCTCCTTGAGGGGAGAGGTTTGCTGAAGGCACCCCACTTAGAATTGAGAGTGTCAAGATGTCTCACTGTCTGAACATTGCCCAGTTGTGGATCTCTGTATTAGTTACTGTCTCCTGCAAGAGGATGACCTCTTATGATGGCTGAGTGAGGTGCATCTATGGATTTAGCAGCATGTCATTAAGAGTCATTTCATTTTTAAGTTCTGTTAGCAGAACCATACTATTCTGTTATCTAATCTCAAGATCTTGGCTACCCAAGTATTGTTGGGCATGGGTTCCATCTCATGGAGTGGGCCTGAAATCCATTCAAACAGTGGTTAGTTACTGCCACAACTTTAGTGTCACTATTGAACTAGTGTCTTGCAGGCAGGACACCACTGTAGATTTATTTGTAGCTGGATTAGTGGTTAACTTTCTCTTCTGTTAGTGTACAGGCTACCTTTCAGTATTATGAACCCTACTCAGTAGAGGTGAAGGCTCTTGGTAGTTACAAGCTCAACTTCTCCATCCTCAATGAAATACATAAATATGGTCTTTAGGAACAGGGGTTTACCATATATTTGTAGAAAGGAACCAATGGCCTTGTCAATTACCTGTTTGGGTGTTTCCATGGGGCAACTTTATCCAACAACTGAATTAGATATGACCCATTTCTGGCACTGGCTATTTCACTTGATCACGAGAGATGCCTTGTGACTTTGTCTCCTTCATTATTTATTGATTATATTTAGACTAATTTCACACACACACATACACACACACACACACACACACACAGAGAGAGAGAGAGAGAGAGAGAGAGAGAGAGAGAGAGAGAGAGAAGATTCTACAGTAATAGGTTTATATATGTCCTCTCAAATGGCCCATGGTGTTAGCTGTTCATCCCTATATTATCTCCCTTACTCCTCCTTCCTCTCCTCCTCTTCATTTAATTATCTTATTCTTTCTATTCCATTTTTCAATAACTATATATTCTAATTAACCTTACGCTCTCAATAGTCTCTCAGTCTGCAACTCTATACTCAAATTCTGTGACTATACAGATTTACTATGTCTTTTGAAGGTTTTAAACCTTACATCCACTTATTAGAGAATACATACCACACTTGTCTTTTCAAATTATACTACACATACAATAAAAAATTAATAATACTGTCATAAAAACAGATACATATATCAGTGGGATAGATTTGAATATATACATATAAGCCTACTCTTACAATCAACTGATTTTTGTCATAGACCAACAATTGGAGAAAATATAGTACCTTCAACAAATGGTGTTGGCACAATAGAATAGCCATGTGCAGAAAAAAATAAATCTAGAACTCTTCACAAAACTTAAATCCAAATGGATCAATGGCCTCACCATAAGACCTGACACCTTAAAGACAATAGAGAAGAATGTACAGAATAGACTTTAACAGTCTTTTACTTTGTTTCTATGACAAATGCATAACACACAAAGCTATTTTTTTGCCAGTTTGAGAAAAGAAAATGAATAGTTCTTTTCTACTAACCATCGTATTTGGCCTAATTTTAACATATTTAAGATTTTATAAATATTCAAAAACTTCACACATGTATACAATTAAATATAAACTTTTCTATATTCATTCCTCTCTTCAAATTCCTCCAGTATCAACTGTCATATTCCCTTCCTAGCATGACAAATCTCTTCCTTTTTGATAATCAGCTAAATTCATATACCCATGTTGTCTATATGCACCTGTATATGGTGCCAGCTACTGGAGCATCTACTGCTGGTAATCTACTAGTGGCCAGATCCTTAGTAAAGAATGTTTTTTTCATCCCCCAGGAACTTCAAGGGTGAATACCTCTTCAATATGACAGGGGCCTGGAAATGATCTTCTACATTCAGTCCAGATTTTGTCTTTGTTTATCTTTTGCAGTAACTACAGTTATTGTGACTTCATGAAGATAATAGCTACATCATGTCCAGAAGACATTTCAGAGCACTCCTTCTGATTCCCTGGCTATTACATTTTTCTCCTTCTCTTCCATATTGTTCTCTAAGCATTGGTAATGGTTTAGGGGAAACATAATTGTCCCATGTAGGGCTGATCACTTACTCTCTCATCCTTAGCACTCTTGACTTTGATCTAATTTCAGACGAACACAAATAAGATAGAACAGAAGGTTCCATCATATCACTTACATGGATTCACTTGATTCTGCTATAATGCTTAATTCTGTATTCAGTAGTCTCAGTAGTCAAGATAGTGAAGAGAACCGGCATATGATTATGCAATCTAAATAACATATTTTATTTGTATTTAACTTAACTTGCAACTACTATCTTTTTACTGTTAAAAGATTAAACTCAGAATGGACCTTGTGTTAGGTCAGTCATCTTCTAATTAATTTGAAATTTTATCCCATGTGATAATGAAACATTATCTTGCTATACACTTCAGTGAATGTTTTAGAACAAATTTTAGAAATTGCTTTATTGGAAATATAATGACACTTATTTTGCTTAGCATTAGTAAATATTTTAATTGTATATGAAAGAGGAAGCTAAGATTTACTTAATTTTTAGGTGAATGTAGGGCTTTGTTTTCCTTGGAACATCCTTCTGCATTTGCTGCTCTCTGTAGGAAGGCTTTGTGAAACAACAACAATGCCCTCTAAACTATAATGATACTCTTTGCTCTTGGAACCATTTACAGATGGTAAACATGAGACATGTAGATTTTTGGGAATATTTTGTAATCTAAAGGATATAGAACTGAGTACAAGTCTAAAATTTAAGTAGTTTTTCCATATCTCTCCCCTTTTCTTTTTTTTCCTTTTATTTTTTTATTTTATTTTTTTTTTTTTTGGTTTTTTCGAGACAGGGTTTCTCTGTGTAGCTTTGCGCCTTTCCTGGAGCTCACTTGGTAGCCCAGGCTGGCCTCGAACTCACAGAGATCCGCCTGCCTCTGCCTCCCAAGTGCTGGGATTAAAGGCGTGCGCCACCACGCCCGGCTTTTTTCCTTTTATTTTTTATTGTTGCTGTGGTTTGCATCCCTTGAAAATTTCTTAAAAATAGAATATCACTATTTCCCCCTTTCCTTTACTTTCTCCAACACCTTGTGAGCTATCTCCCATCACTCTTCCCATGTGCTTCCACCTTAATACCTCTGGTGTTTAATGGAACATTTTGTGGTGTTTAACTGTAATATTCTTATTCTTGGAGGATGGATAGTTATGCTATAAGTTGTTTGATAGAGGTAGCACAGACATTGCAACCATGAACAAACATTCACTGTGGACATCAACACATGCCTGGTGTAAGATTAGGTCATCTCATCATTGATTTGGGATGACCTCAGGAAGCACTGATCCTCTTTGAGAAGTTATTGATGGTTAAATTTATATTCCAAGTGTAGTAGTTCAGTATTTTCTTCACCTATGTAGCCTTGGGTAAGTGGCCCCATAGTTAGAAATAAGTGCTAACTGTGCTCAAACAATCCTCCCTTATCAAATTCAACAGTCTTTAAAAACATATGACTGTCAGGGGAAAAAGATGACAATGAGAAGAGGATGCCATTAAAGTGAAGTGGAGAAGGAAGAGATATTGGTGGCCAATGTGATGATCATATTTCATTGGTTAAGTATGTGAAATTGGCTGGGCGTTGGTGGCGCACGCCTTTAATCCCAGCACTTGGGAGGCAGAGCCAGGAGGATCTCTGTGAGTTCGAGGCCAGCCTGGGCTACCAAGTGAGCTCCAGGAAAGGCACAAAGCTACACAGAGAAACCCTGTCTCAAAAAACCAAAAAAAAAAAAAAAAAGTATGTGAAATTGTGAAAAATAAGTAGCCATAAAGCAAAACTTAGAGGTAAAAATATTTCTATTATGTTATAGATCACATATATTTATACACAAAATAATTATATTTTACTGAATATAAAACTATAAAAAGTTATACTTTACTGAGAAGTCTTTGATAGTGTTTAACAAAACAATGGATATTTCCCTTAAAGATAGATTCCTTCTGACACAAGGCTTTTTGCCTAGTTTATGCACAGAAGCACTGTATTCCATCCAGTGTAGAACAATCTACCTTTTCTGAAAATTATAGTATATAAAATTATTAGGAAATAAAACCCTCTCCAAATTACAAAAATACACAACATAGCTTTAGATGGACGTGGAAACATTATAAGCTTTGAAACAAGTGGAAAGTTTCACAAAATTGTGTCACTGAATCTCATGGGACCAGAAAAATTTCAAACCCTGAGAGAATTAAAAATTAGTCTCACAGACTCATGATGCCTCAAGGAAACCTCTTTAAATGCCAGATACAGTGAAAGGAGAATATTTGGATTCTTAATTTATGTTTTGTTCAGCAACTATGATGAATTCAGCATCCCAGAAGCAGAGGTAAAATTCTTTACCCTTCACTGCCAGGCTGTTCTCCTTCTGTCCCTTAGATGTGGAAGGAAGAAATGGAAACAAGCAGAGAATCTTGGTCAAGACTGAATGAAAAGGAGGCTATCTTCAAATTTTTCACAGAAGTCACACCTAGAGAGGCAAAGTAAGCATATGGTGCACCTTCATGGAAAAGCTTTAGTTTGTGATAAAGTGATTCAACATTTGGTGTTATGTGCAACCTGCTGTTTAGCAAAATTATGCCCCTTTTACTTTACAAACATCTGTGAAAGTTCTATAAAGCCTGGTGCTCATATTATTTATCTTAGTAAAAATTTTATTACCAAAATTGGTTTTTTATTAAGTGAATAAAATGTTCCCTGAAGAAATCAGAGAATAGTAAATAATTGTTTAAGTGCTCACAGTGCTCAAATAACTGTTAAGTGTAAACTCCTTCCATCCATGCCTCCTTGAAATGTCTTTCGATAAATTTATTTTGAGCCTTCAGTTTTTTCAAAGTTTATCGAAATTTAGCATATTTTCAAATGTTCATCCTCACATTAAAATCAAACAATTTAGAACTGCAGCACAAATTTATTATTCTTTTGTCTAGCTGACAATATTTTGATTGTCTAAACGTATGTTTATTTATATACTAGTAACTCCCCATTCTGAAGCTTGCATTGAAAGGTTGGATGCTTTGAGGTATTATTAAGAATGCTGAAATAAAACATGATAAATTGAAGCATTACTGTATCTTTAAAAAGCTGTGGAAGTCAAATATAAAAAGGTCTAGTTCCACCAATACACAGCAACACATAATACACAGGAAGAATATAAGGTAACAAAGTTTGACTTAATTCACAAAGTGAAGTCTTCAGATTTAATCATATTCACTTACATTCCTCACAGCCTTAGAGTTCTTCATTGAGCTCTTAGGAAAACTAAGTGGGTGAAACTCTAACTCCCTTAGAGCGAGAATTTTGTGCCATTCTCTCTCTTAAAATGAGCAGAATCTTTAAGACATCAAAGGAGCTTCAGAAATCCATCAGGGAGAATATAAAAAGAAAGAGAATATCTCTTTTGCCTACATTGCAGAGATAATAGAGGAAGTAAACTTGAGATATGTAGGGAAATCAAGAGTAACACTGTGGACAGAGAAATGATTAGTAGTCTGAAGGGAATGTATTTTCCAGAAAGTCAAGGATATAAACCTAACTGGTTAGCTACAAACACACAAAAAAATGAAGCTTTTATTGGTAGATAATAACTTTATTTTAAAAGTATATTGGACTTATAATTTAACATGTGGGATAATTTCATACAAAACTTCAATAAATTATCATTTGTAAGAACAGTAGCCATTTATATTAAATATATTAAAGAGCAACTATTTATAGTGGTAACCCTCTATTCATCTCTGAACATTTTGAGTGTTACATGTACTTCAAAGTTAATGAAGTCATTTTGTTATGAGGGCATATTGGCACTCCAACTACTTGTGCTGCTTGAATGAATGGGAAGGAAATAGTGGGCAGTGTGGACCGTGGCCCAGGGAGGCACACTTCCCTAGGTATCTGCTAGGAGAAGGCTCAGTGACCACAGTTTCTACTTTGTGCCCTTGAGTAAGGTAAGTTAGCCCTCTAGTATTTTCAAATGCATGGCTGCTGTGGAAAAGATCATGGAATATTTTAGGATAAGTAAAGAGGATGCATGTTGTTCCTAAGTGAGAATTTGGATTTGAAGTCAAAGAGCAAAGAATTGGGATAGAGTCAAGTCGAATGTATGGTTGTTAATGGAAAGATTATGATATAATGAAATAGTCCACATAAGATGCCTGTTAAGCTAACTCATTACTTCAACTTTTGGTAATCAGATGGATAGAGTGAAAATCAGAATTTATTTTCAGAAATTGAGAGGAAATTAGCTTTTGTGGGTGTCATCTTCGTTTTTAATTTTCAGGTTTTTAATAATCATAAGAACATATTTCTTACTAATGGAATTTATCACTTTAATATCTCATAGAAAATAGTACATATTTATGTTAGTGAATGAATTATTAATGTTCTTCTTAGTTTTTCATTGTCACTTAAGAATGATTTTAAATGCCTCCTGTTTTATGTCCTACCTTTGGGTTTTTATTTTTACTATCATATTATAGTAATTTGTAATAGTCTTAATTATATATCATAGCCCTTATGGAAGTTTTACATTTTTGTCATTTTTCAATATTTTACACACTGCATCACATTCCTGGGTGATTGTTCCTCTACTCAATATTTAGAATAAAAGTTTTTAGGAGGAATCCTGTTTCAAAAATAAAAATGCACTTAAGGTTCTGTAATTATTTCTGATTTGTGTTCCAAAATTACTGCATTAAAAAAGCAATGCTAAAGTTATTGTAGTACATTTTAAAGTGTGATTTTATGAGACATATTTTTGATTGATTTTATGTTTAATCTCATTTTTTACATAAAGCACATTTTAAAGAAATTTGACATCATTGTTCATGTTCTTTTTGACACAGAGTTTACAGAATATATTAATAAAATTTATGGATTTTGCTGTTTGTGATCACACATGCTTTAATCCCAGAACTTGAAGGTGGAATCAGGAATATCACGAATTCAATGACATGGTGAGTTTGTGTACAGCCTGGGCTGCATCTGTGTTTCCCTTTATCACTAGAGCAAAGTCTATCTGTCTTTTATGGAAAAAAATCCCAGTGCTCTGGTAGATCAGTAAATGGCCCGTGAGTATTACACATCAAGGTGTTTTGTTACCCACATTCTAATGTATTTTCTATTAATTTGAAAATTTTGCACAGTGTATTATGATCATATCCTAGATGTTCCCACAATATAAAGTAAATAACTTGTTAATTTCTACTCTTCATTTTATTTAGTCTAATGTTAGCTCAATGCAAATACCATAGAACAGAAGCTCCAGGTTGTCTTGCATAGCTTCACTTGAGTCTGCTGCATTGCTTTACAGTGCATTCAGTTGTAGATGATGTACAAAAATAAGGGGGGGGGTGATTGCCTCATCTAAACAACAAATTGTATTTATAGTTGGATATATTTCAACAATTAGCCTTTTAAAATTGTATTTACCTCTCACCTCAAAGTTAAACACAGATAACTCCCCCTTAGCCTGTTTTCCCCCCAAGCCACTACCGTGTCCCTCCCACCAGGGTTTGTGTGTCTTCCTCCTCATAATCTCTCAAATTGATGGCCCTTTAAAAATATTATTGCTATATAATATATAAATGCAAAAATTTGAAAAAACACAGCCTGCTCAGTCTGTTTATTGTTGCAAGTATTTAAATGATATTGGGGCTGACCACTCATTATTGGATACCTAACCTGGGAACTCATCCCTGGGAAAGACTCATTCTCCCTCTCTCAGCAGTCATTATTTGCCTGTGGTTCTTTGTCTAGAGGTGGGGCCCATGGGATTTCTCCTTCCACATTACCATGTGTATTGGTGTCCTCCTCATTATTCAGGCCTTGTTTAGACAGACATATTTGCAAGATGTCATAGATGCGGCTTCTCTGTCCTTTCTAGGAAGCATAGTTTCACAGCGGAATTTCTTGTACTACAGTTTTTACACTATAGTATATTTTGTACCCTTCCAGAAATGTTCCCTGAACCTTAGTTGTATCTGTTGGGACTGAGTTCCTCATGATTAGTCTATCTGTACATTTAATCAATTTTCTGTAATGTTCTTTATTTGCTGCAAAGAGAACCTTCTTTGATGAGGGATGAGATCTACACTCATCCACATGTTTAAGGAAAAGTTTTAGAATTAAGTTAGGAATTAGGCTGGTCTAGAAAAGAAGTGGTAATAGATTTTCCTCTAAAGTCCATGACCACATTAGCCTTGAGTATTTGGCTAATGGGTGTAATTTTCCTCCTATTGAATTTAGTCCTTAATTTCCTTAGAAAGATGCTGGTTAATGTTGAAATAGGAATGCCTTATTACGCCTTCAGGAATGTCTTGCCATGTTGATTATTGTGGTTCACAGGCATCACAGCTGAGTATGACTATTGATTGCCACTCTACCTTGCAGCCTGACAAGCAAGTTCTGGTATAATGACAATTTATACTGAGGGCAAAGGCTTTCAGGTCAGTAAGGCCTGTATCTTACCATTATCCCTTTTATGTTGCAGGATTCAATTTAGATTAAGGCTACAGCTTGTGCTTAATTCACGTATCTTCTGACTCCTATAAATATGATCATAAAACATAACTACACTGTAATATTATTTCAGATATTTTAATTATAAAGAATATCAGGATATTCTAGGCATTGAAACCTTCTTTTTACCGTAACTTGTGAAATAAAATAATTTACCTATATATAAATATGATGAAAAGAAGTCATTACCTTTTACTATCCACAAATAAGAGTGAAATATAGAATTATCTTCTCTGCTCAGTTTAATTCTCTGGGGTCAAATTGTTCTTAACATTTAACATCTCTTCATACATTTCTAAGTCCATCATTGTTTTCATGTGTTATTCACAAAGGAACTTTAGAGACTCCTTCAAATTAATTTCATTTGCACAAGAGAAACCCAAGACTTAAGGCAATTTAGGAATATAAAATAATCTGACCTATACCATAAAAAAGTGAGAGAAAGCAACTGAGAAAAAAAACAGCTCAAGGGTTTAGAGCAGTTTTGCTTTTTTGTCCAAATACCATCATTGTAAGAGACACTGAATTTCATTCTGACATTTTTATTCATGGATACCACACCCCACAATTTTAGTCATTACAGGTTTTTTTTGTCCATTCTGCTTTATTCTTGGATAATAACCAATAAATTATATAATGATTTTCTCAGATTATCATAAATGATAGTTACTTGAGCATATGATCTTCTAAGGTTAGGTTTTAATCCTTTAGTTGTAGTCTGTGAGTGGATCCAGATTTTGGTTATAGTTGTTAAATGAGGAACTGCTCTGAGAATATCATGAAATGGTTGTTTGTTTTAAGTTAAATAGAGGCAATGGCTTATGATGGATTTCTTTAGTATTTATTCATTTATTATTTTAAAATATAACAAAATAAAATATAATAATTAAAAACAAAACATATCATATTCAAATTGGACAAGACAAACCAACAGAAGGAAAAGGGCCAAAGAGAAGACACAAGAAACAGACACCCACACACTTGCACACTCAGGAATCTCATAAAAGCAATAATCTAGAAGCCATAAAATACATCAATGTACTTGGTGCTGACCCATGTAGGCTCTGTTTATTCTGGTTCAGTCTTTTTGAGTTCATGTGAGTTTTGTTCCTGTTGATTTAAAGAGCCTTTCTCTGGCTCTTACATTCTGTCTGCTTCCCATTACATGTAATTCCCTTAGCTTTGAAGGAAAGGATTTGATGGAGACATCCCATTTAGGGCTAAAACTTCCAAGGTCTCTTACTCTCTGCATAATGTGTGTCTTTGGGTCCCTGTATTTGTTCCCATCTGCTGTAAGACGAAGCTTCTATGCTCATAGCTGAACAAGGTACTACTGTTCATGTACTGTTAGTAGCAAAATTTCATTAGGAGTCATTTTATCACTACATTAAAAAATTATCTAGACTAGTATTATTTGGCTTTAACCTAGGTCCCTGCACTATCTAGCCTCTGGTTCTTGGTCATTGAAGCCGTGTTGGGTTTGGGTTCCATCTCATGCAGTGGGCTTTAAGTCTAATTAGTTGTTGTTGTTTTCTCCCTCAAGCTTTGTGCCAACGTTGTCCTAGCATATCTTGTAGGCAGTACACCATTGTAGATAAAGACTTTGTGGCTGGCTGGCTGTTTATGTTTCTCATTTTACAGCTTGCAGAGTATGCTCTTGTACAAAAGATGCTGGAAAATAGCGATGAAAGCTCTGAATAGACACCAACTCAACTTCACCATCTTTAATGAGTTGTGTAGATACCACAAGTAAATGTTTTTCTGTTTCCATTTTAATTATTGCCATTAAAATTACCACAAACTTTCATTTCAATAGAACTGCATTATTTTTTTCCTTTTATTTTGTTTTACAATACCATTCAGTTCTACATAACAGCCACATATTCCTTTGTTCTCCCCCTTCCTGCCCCCCTGCCCTTTCCGGCAGCACATCCCCCATTCCCACCTCCTCCAGGGCAAAGCCTCCCATGAGGACTGAGATCAACCTGGTAGACTCAGTCCAGGCAGGTCCAGTCCCCTCCTCCCATAGTGAGGCCAGTGTCCCTGCATAAGTCCCAGAATTCAAACAGCTAACTCATGCAATGAGCACGGGACCTGGTACCACTGCCTAGATGCCTCCCAAACAGATCATGCCAATCAACTGTCTCACCTATTCAGAGGGCCTGATCCAGTTGGGGG